CGGTAACTGTAACGGAATACAGTTACTCATATTTTGTATTTTAAATACGTAACGGCGGTACATGTATTCCGTTACTGCCCAACACTGTATATATATACACACACATGTCTGTGTGTGTGTGTAGATTTTTACCTGGGATTTAGTATTTGGACAGCTAACAGCTAACAGTCTCTAACAGACTTGCAATTGAATTCAAAAATTGAAAAGAAAGTCCATCTTTCAGTTTACATGCTTTGCCTTTGCAAAGCAATAATGACCTTCTATGTCACATAGCAAAAATCTGCTGACACATTTCATATACTTTTCTACTGTTGCCTTTCTATCAGATAAAACCAGTCCAGCAATTCTTTACTGATCTCTGTTCTCAAAAAAACATTTTTGAACAAAGCAGTCACATTGATTTCACTTATATTTTTCATTTCCAGACCATTCTCTGTAAACCCTAGATATATTTGTACATAAAAATTTACAACATATCAGCAGTTTGGAAAACACAAACCAACTTGTCACATTTAAGCAATTTAAGTCATTATAGTGCTTGGATTTCAACATAAGCTCATTAGATTTTATTTATATGACTTGTGTAATGTGAAGAACTAGCGTACACTAAAAGAAAGTTCCTGTTTTACAGTGCTGTGCAGAAGTCTTGGGTAATTTCTAATTGTTTTATTATGATAGGGAATCCTATCATAATAAACAAACACATGAAAATATAGTATATTAGATAAAAACACTATGTACAGTTCAAATGAGCATAAAAGTCAGTATTTGGAACGACCACTTTTATTCTTCACCACAGCCTAAACTCACTTAGGCAGGCTTTCTTGTAATTTCTCTAAATATTTTTCAGGATAGGTCTTCAGGACATTCCAGAGCTCTTATCTGGATGTTGTCTGCTTTTTGTTACGTTCTCTGTCAAGATGACTCCAAAATGTTTCAATAATGTTGAACTCCAGCCTGTGGGCAGGCCAGTTCATGACTGATAGTGTTCCATTGTGTATTTGATATCCAGGTATGAGTTTACTGCACTGGCAGTGTGTTTGGGGTCACTGTCATGCTGAAAAACAAAACTGATGCAATTCTGATTCTATTCAGATGGTACTCCAAACAGACCAAACAGAAGTTACATGACTTACTCTTAATAGTTTATTTTTTGAAGCTGAACTTTCTCTATGCTGCAAAGTGTATGTTGTATGTCTGTTACATGTTCATAAATACAGAAACTACTGGAATCTGTCTGCTTAGGTGTGTTCAGTGTGCATGACCATATCAGGAAAACAGAGCCAGAGCTTCTACAAGCTGACGTCATGCACTGAAAGTAGACTCGTCTACGTGAATGTTCAGTTGCTGTAACTACCCTCAGGAAACAAGATCATTGGTTATTGTGCTCTGCCTTCACTGAGATAAAGACATGGGGAGCATTTGGTTTGTAATTTGGTGCATTTTAACAGTTTTTCAGGTAAGAATTATATATCTTACATATTTATATATTAAATCATATTACATATTTTGCATTTTCAAAAACATTTTAATACTGAATATTAGTTCAAATGTTCTTTTACATTCTTTTACTATTTTTAAAAATTGAGGATAAAATTGAGTTTTTGTTTATAGATGACAGTGACAGCACGACTCTGCTGCATCACCTCTTCTAACAACACTCTTTTCTATGTTTAACGGGACCAGTTGCTACAGTTTCAGAAGCCTTTATTTTTTCTATACTGTACTGATAAAGATTTTAGATCCTTAATAGTTTGTAATGTCCTTTGCTATGTTCCTCATTTCATTTCCAGTTCTGCTGAATTGAATTTTTCTTGAATTCAAGTGACTGAAAGGTCTAGCCTACAGACACTTCTTGCTCTTATGAAACCATGCTGTTGGATTGCATGCAGAAAATGATCTGGCATAGTCTTGCTGAAATACGTAAAGCATTCTCTGAAAAATCACTGTGGAGGTGTGTTACAGTTGAGTTCAAGTGTAAGATGGGGTTCAACTGCACGACAAGCAGTGCACTCTGTCACATTTTTAACCCAAAGAATCCACGATTTCCAAATTGAATTTGAAATTTTGGTTGGTTAGGTAACAGGACAGAATATCAGATATAGATCAGATATAGATAGAGCTGGGTGTCACCTGCATAGCAGTGAAAATGTATGTTTTGATGTCTTCGATGATGCTGCCTAAGCGAAGCATGTGTAATGTAAACAGAATTGGTCCTAGCGCTGAACCCTGTGGAACTCCATAATTAACCTCAGTGTGTGAAGAGGACTCTCCATTTACATGCACAAATTGGAGTCTATTAGATAGATATGATACAAACCACTGCAGTGCAGTACCTGTAATACCTACAGCATGTTCTAATCGCTCTAATAGGATATTATGGTCAACAGTATCGAATGCTGCACTAAGGTCTAGCAGGACAAGCACAGAGATGAGTCCACTGTCAGAGGCCAAGAGAAGATCATTTGTAACCTTCACTAAAGCTGTTTCTGTGCTGTGATGAGCTCTGAAACCTGACTGAACAATCAATTGGACAAAAAGACTAAATAAGTATCAAAGTATCAGTTGTACGTGTTTGAGAGTTATACCAGGGATTCAAGTACTTCTGATTTGAGGCCTTATTTTTCACAGGAGCTACAGTATCCATAGTTATCATGAGCTGTCATTTTAGCATCTACATGGATGTTAAAATCACCCACAATAATTATTTTATCTGAGCTGAGCACTAAATCAGATAAAAAGTCTGAGCAATCAGACAGAAACTCTGTAAGGCCCAGGTGGACGATAACAAATATAAGGGATAGATACCAAATAAGACTGATTTTGTCATGGTCCTGGGTCGTTTGACCCAGCGTTTTGTGTTTGGTATTATTATTATCTTATGTTCTAGTTGTTTCTGATTTTGGTTGCCTGAGTCCTCCCCCTCTGCTCTGTTCATGTCCCTGAGCTTGTGTTTGTGACGTTTCTGTATTACTTTGAAAGGTCCTGTCTCATGATAGTTTATTCTTATTTACTTCCTTGTCTTGTCTAATTAGGTGCAGCTGTGTTCCCCTCTGCTATGTCATTCCCTCGTTACCTTGTCTATATTTATAGTCAGGGGTGCACATAAGTTGTATGGGAGTATGCGGCACATTCTGCACCACATCTCTGTGCGTTCATCATTTGTTTGAAGCCAGCTCACCTTCTGCAACCACTTTTCTAGGAATACGCACGTCTTTTGTGGTTCGGACTCCTGACATTTCTTTAGAAGTGAAGGAAAACCAAAGTAATTACTTGAAGGAGCTTGCTTCTTCGACATCTTTAAGAGTTCTAAACAAATGTCTGTCCTCCTCCAGAAAATCTTATGTACGCAAACACGCGTTTCAACTTCTTATCTGGTGCGCCTCTTTTATTTTGACAGCGCACGCGCACCTGCGGACCGCTTATGTGCAGCCCTGTTTATAGTGTGTGCCTGCCCGTGTTCCTTGTCACGTGGTCTGTGTAACCTGGTGAAATTTCTGCATCTCTCTGCCCAACATTCTCTGTGACATTTCCGATCTTCGTCCAGAGGTTGTATGGTTTTAGGTTTGTGTGTTTGTGTTGTCTAGTTTTTCCCCAGT